AGTCTGCAGGGCGGAGAGGCAGGCACCATCAGGTTGCCCCAAGGTATCTGGGACTACACACCAAGTCATGGGGTTCAGTGAGAGGCTCAGACCCACCCCCACATGGGGCTCCATGTTCCCACCCCAGCCCCGCCGGCAGCTTCCAGTCTTGGATGAAGACTGGGGAATCAGCTTTCCATGTGTGTCATCAGAACAGAGTCCCTGCATCTTCCCTGGGCCACTGTGTGTGACGACACGTGTCTGATGGTGTGTCACCACCTGTGATGCGTGTCTGATGGTGGGTCACCCTATGTGACGCATGTCTGATAGTGGGTCACTCCATGTGACGCGTGTCTGATGGTGGGCCACTACGTGCGATGTGTGTCTGCTGGCATGTCACCACGCATGACACGTGTCTGGTGTGTCACCACATGTAAACACATGTCTGATGGTGTGTCACTGCATGTTAGCTGACGTGGCGTATCATACACGTATACTTACATATCACACATGTCACTGCACGGTGGATGCATCAGCTGCATCTCAGGTGGCATAGCACCCACTGGGTGGCATGTCGACCACATGTAACACTGTCACGTGCAATGTCAAGTCAGCTGCAATGGATTTCATGTCAGCTACACATCACCTGCTGTGTCACGCACACTGGATTGTGTGTCAGTTACATGTCACGTGTTATGTCACACGTGTTGGGCGGACACGTCAGTTGTGTGTCACACGGCATGTCACCCCTGAGATTCCTGAGTGTGTCAGGCCCCCCGTCCCCCAGCACAGTACACATGTGCACGTGTCCCCGCCGTGGTCAGGAGGAACCCATGGCATGTAGCATCCATGGGACAGTCAGGCTCTGCCGGCTTCTTTGAGGTGGGGGCTGGGATGCGGCACTCTGCCGTGAGAAGGACGCGGGAGGCCACCGGGAGCTGATGAACTGCGGAGAACGCAGAGGCGCGCAGCTTCCTCATATGCCCAACCACAGCTTCCTGCAGCCAAGGGGACCCGCACTCAGGTCTGGCGCGGGGACTGCCCAGGACCTCAGGGCTGTCAGTTGGCTCTGCTCACGGCTCCGGCATCCAGGCGGAGCAAATGCTCATAAAGAGCCCGTGTGATAAATTGATCTGCGTTTCAGAACAATTTAGACCTGTCAGTCCTAATTGTGCTTTTTCCAAAGGCCTGTCTGCAGAGAGCAATGAGTCTGGGGAGGAAGGCGTCAGCCCTGTAATGCGGCGAGGTGGGGGGGGTGGGGCGTCTCCTCGCTTTCGGATGGGCACCAGTCAGAAGCCACAGGACCTGTGCAGTGTGGCAGAGCCAGGGCAGGGGCGGGTCTGCAGGTCCAGAAAATTTGCCATCCTGGGCCAGAGAGCACTGTGGGTATGACATGCTCCTGACCTGGATTCCATTCCCCTAAGCCCCACCAGGAGTGAGCCCTGGGCACAGAGTGAGGAGTCATCCTTGAGCACAGAGCCGGGAGTCAGCCCTGAGCACAGAGCGAGGAGTCAGTCCTGAGTACAGAGCTGGAAGTCAGCCCTGAGCATAGAGCCAGGAGTCAGCCCTGAGCACAGAACTGGGGAGTCAGCCCTGAGACAGAACGAGGAGTCAGCCCTGAGCACAGAGCTGGGAGTCATCCCTGAGCACAGAGCCGGGAGTCAGCCCTGAGCACAGAGCCAGGAGTCAGCCCTGAGCACAGAACCGGGAGTCAGCCCTGAGCACAGAACTGGGGAGTCAACCCTGAGCACAGAGCCAGGAGTCAGCCCTGAGCACAGAACTGGGGAGTCAGCCCTGAGCACAGAGCAAGAAGTCAGTCCTGAGCACAGAACCGGGAGTCAGCCCTAAGCACAGAGCCAGGAGTCAGCCCTGAGCCCAGAACTGGGAGTCAGCCCTGAGCACAGAGCCAGGAGTCAGCCCTGAGCACAGAGCCAGGAGTCAGCCCTGAACACAGAGCTGGGAGTCAGCCCTGAGCATCACCAGGTGGGGCACAAAAACCTGAAAGAGCAGAAAGAAGGGAGGGAAGGAAAGGAAAGAAAAGAGAAATAAAATGTGCCTTCCTGCACTCCTGATACTATTGTCCTAGTGACCCGGCCCCTTCCCTAAAGACATCAAGTGTTGGGGAGGGCTGGGTTTTGGGGGGAGGAGTTTGGGCTGGAGGTGTTTTGCCCACACCTGGCAGTGCTCAGGGCTCACTCCTGGGGGCTCGAGAGACCCTATGGGGGATGGGGAGTGAATCCGGGTCAGCCGTGTGCAAAGCCTCAGCCCTGCCTTAGCCCTACAGCCCCCAGGATGGGACCTTCCAGGGTGTCCAAACCATCGGTGCCCAGGGAGGTGCCCAGGGTGGGCAGTGGCTGGGCTGCTCTGTGCAAGGGGCAGGTGGACAGTGGGAAGTCATGAGGGCGGGAGAGAGGAGCCATGGGACGCAGCACTAGGGACTGGACGGTGAGCTGCAGTGAATGGACAGGGAAGGGCGCTGCCCGGCCCCTGGAAGCCGAGGCCCTGTCCTGCCCTGGCCGTGGACTCCCTGGTGGGCTGCGCTTCACCTGCTCGTGGACACGGCACGCAGACTTGGCCCCTCCCTGCCCTGCATGGACCCCCTCTGGGCTGGCGTCTAGCTGAAAGGGGAGAGTAGCAAGAAAGCACGTCTGTCCGGGCAGCTACTCGGACCCGAGGCCAGATCCTGGTGTCACTGGCTGTTGGTTTTCACCTGCAAGAAGCAGAAACATACAGGGACATGAAGGCTTGCAGGCAGGTCACTCTGCCAAAGACAAGACTCTCAAAGGTCAGCAGTCCCCACTGCCCCCCTGCCCTGGGGCCTGCTCACAGAGGCTGCCTGCCTCCGGCCATGGCGTCCATGTTCCAGGCAGGAGGACCATGCAGAGTTGCGGTGGCTCCTGCCTGGTGCTGTCGCCCTCCAGGGCCGAGGAAGGGAGCTCAGGCCCAGGGTCGGCAGCATCTAAGGCACGACTATCACCTTCAGAGGTCCTGCTGACCGCCGGACACATGTAACTGATGGGAAGTGTCGCCGCGGGATTTCCGTGGTAAGGCGGGTGCAGACAGCGAAATGGGGGTGGCATTGGTGGGAGACATTCTGGAGGCTTCTCTCCGAGCACTGTTTGTCTGAGAACGCAGACCTGGGTCTGTTCCAGCTGCACATCTCAGGCTGCAGCGCAGAGCGGCGCCGAGGGCCTTCCGCCCGGGCTCACATCATCCCTTTCAATGATCTTTCCCCCTTTTATTTGCCAGGAATCCTCTCAATTAAGTGGAGGTTTCAATTGGAATAATTAAACCCTCCATCTCAGACCCAGCCGATCAATTAGCCGGGATGCATTTCTGCACCGGGCTGTTGACGGGCCCTTTCGCTGCTGGGCTTGGTTTCGGGCAGCCGGTGAGATGGGGAGGGGGAATGCACTTAGCTCATCGTCTCCAGGGCTGGTGGAAGCAGCTGCGGCCCCTCTCTGGGGGGAGTTGGACCCTCTGACTCACTTGCTCAGGGCTCAGCCCTTGGCTCTCCCTGCCGTCCCCCCGGAAGCACTGTTCTCTCTGTATAGCCGTCAGGGGGTGCTCCCAGGTGAGAGGGTGACGAAGGGGTGGGAGATCCCATGAAGACCCCCTGGATGCCCCAAAGGATGCCACAGCCTGTCTATGCCTGGGTGCCCCGGCGGGTGAATGGGCCGAGCACGCTGCCCTCTCCGACCCAGGCCCACGCTGCGGCCTGGACTTTGGTTTAGTTCTGTGAGGGGTGGGGGTCTCTCAGAGCCTCCAGGTGTGAGAGAGACTTCGGGGCCGACAGGGGGTCAGGTCTGGTCCAGGCTAGGGGTGAGGCCCCTCCCCCAGGCTCTCTTGGCTATGTGGTGGGGGGAGCGTCCCTGATGCTGATGGCGGAGGTGGAGGTGGTGCAGGAGGGGATGGCAATGGGGTGGGGTTAATGGTGTGAGGGCAGAGGTGATGGTGGCGGTGGAGGTGATGGTGGTGGTAGGGGAGATAACAGTGATGATGGAGGTGATGGTGGCGGTAGGGGAGATAACAGTGATGGTGGAGGTGATGGTGGTGGTAGGGGAGATAACAGTGATGGTGGAGGTGATGGTGGTATGGGAGACAGCAGTGGTGGAGGCGATGGTGTTGGTACAGGAGATAACAGTGATGAAGGTGATGATGGTGGTATAGGAGATAACAGTGATGGTGGAGGTGATGGTGGTGGTAGGGGAGATAACAGTGATGGTGGAGGTGATGGTGGTATGGGAGACAGCAGTGGTGGAGGCGATGGTGTTGGTACGGGAGATAACAGTGATGAAGGTGATGATGGTGGTATAGGAGATAACAGTGATGGTGGAGGTGATGGTGGTGGTAGGGGAGATAACAGTGATGGTGGAGGTGATGGTGATGGTAGGGGAGATAACAGTGATGGTGGAGGTGATGGTGGTGGTAGGGGAGATAACAGTGATGGTGGAGGTGATGGTGGTGCGGGGCACGGTGATGGTGAGGTGGTGTAGTGCTGAGTCAATGGTGGTCTGGAGGTGACGGTGATGGGGGGCATGGACGGGATGGCCGTCGGCGGGTCGCATTTATGGTGGTGATGACCTGAGTCCCTGACTTTCGGCGGGAGGAGCCTGCTGGGCAGATGCTAACAAACCCTCCAAGCTTCAGGGACCTGCCTCGGCGGCGCTGCCTCAGCCGGCCTCACCAAGCTCTCAGGCCATGCGCCTGGACATGTTCCCGACCTTTTTTCCCGGGTTTCGAGGAGCGGGGGCACTCTAAGGCTGAAAGGGAAAGTCCTGCCTCATCCCAGCTTGTTCTGAGCCTCAGCTGTCCATCACCTGGACATGCTGGACTCCCTTCCCTGCAGCAGGACTCTGAGCACGACAGCTGTGTCCAGGCTCCTCCCGGGGCTCCTCCCGGCCTGTGGCTAGGCTTGCCCGGCGTGGTGTTGGGGGCCCCAAGATGCAGGGGCAACGCCCAGCCTCCCTCAGACAGAGACACGCGAGTCCACTGAGTTTCCTCCTCACCCCCTTTGCCAGGCTCCGGTCTCCACTGCTCCGGGTGCAGACAGGCCCTGGCGCAGGGCAGGACCGGCCGTGGCCAGGAGTAGCAGCAGAAGGACACCGGAGAGAGGGGGCAGCTGTCCCCGGCCAGCCCCATGCCAGGTACGTGCACCCTGCCCCCACCCGGAGCTCAGACACTGAGGTTGGCCCAGTCATGCCGGGTCAGTGCCATCGGGAGTGGACACCCAGCAGAGGGAGAGGATGGGAAGGGCAGGGCCAGGTGAGGCCGGGCAGGAGGGCAGGTTGAAGGCTTTAGCAAAGTGCTGGTGGGGTGGTGGGGGGTGGGGGGGGCTGAGGCTTCCAATTGCAGAGCTTGGAGCCTGGCTACGTACCGCTGGGAGCACCCGCGGGTCCCCCAACATCGCTGGAGGTGCCCCCATTCACTTTCAAAAGGCAAAAGTGAACAAGGGAAAATCAGCAGGGCCCTCCCCGAATGAAGGCTCTGGAGCCATGCGCCAGCCCGCGTGCCCCGAGGGCAAAGGGACACTGCACCCACACACACAGGGTGTGGATGACCCCTGGACGGGCCTTGATGAGCTGGATGAGGCATCCAAGATTCCAGCTCAGTAGCGCTGCTCTGGAGATGCTTCCACCAGGGGCCGGAGCAATCGTGCGGTGGGCTGGGCGCTTCCCTTGCACACGGCCAACCCGGGTTCAATGCCCGGCACCCCACAGGGGCCCCTGAGCAGTGCCAGGACTGATTCCTGAGTGCAGAGTGAGGAGTAATCCCTGAGCACTGCCAGGTGTGGCCCAAAAACAGGAAGGGAGGGAGGAAGGAAGGGAGGAAGGAAGGAAGGAAGGAAGGAAGGAAGGAAGGAAGGGAGGGAGGGAGGGAGGGAGGGAGGGAGGGAGGGAGGGAGAGAGGTAGAGAGAAAGGGAGAGAGAACATGCTCTCCTCAGCCTCTATGGTCCAGCTTATGCGGATCCCGAGCACTGTGCTGGGAGCTGGCTGAGGGAGGCGCGCATTGCCAGGGTCCCCCGAGAGTGTAAGTGAGAAGGGCAGAGTTGGGGGTGGACGAGCCTGCCCGGCACCGCCCGCTGAGTGGCCACCGTCCACAGGCAGCCAGCCCGAGATGGACGACGGCGTGGACAAGCTCAAGGACGAGGACGCGCTGTGGGAGAACGTGGAGTGCAACCGGCACACGCTGAGTCGCTACATCAACCCGGCCAAGCTGACCCCGTACCTGCGCCAGTGCCGGGTCATCGACGAGCAGGACGAGGACGAGGTGCTCAGCGCCCCCACGCTGCCCTCCAAGATCAACCGCGCAGGTGCCCGCTCACCCGGGGCAGGGGGCCGGCTGCGGGGGAGAACCCCGCACTCCAGGGTGGAATGACCCTGGGCTCACTCGGGTCACTCTGGGAGGGGTCACTCTGGGCGGGGGGTTACTCAGGGTCACTCTGGGCAGGGGTCACTCAGGGTCACTCTGGGCAGAGTCACTCGGGTCACTCTGGGTGGGAATCACTTGGGTCACCCTGGGTAGGGTCACTCAGGTCACTCTGGGTAGGGTCATTCAGGTCACTCTGGGTGGGGGTCACTTGGATCACTCTGGGCAGGGTCACTCGGGTCACTCTGGGTAGGGGTCACTCAGGTCACTCTGGGCAGGGTCACTCGGGTCACTCTGGGTGGGGGTCACTCGGGTCACTCTGGGCGGGGGTCCCTTGGGTCACTCTGGGCATGGTTACTCGGGTCACTCTGGGAGGGGGTCTCTCTGGGCGGGCGTCTCCTCCTGGAGCAGATTCCAAGAACACCACCCAGTAGATAGCACCAAATGAAGTTTCTCTGCTTGGAAATGGGAAGCTGGGGGCCACCCAGTCATTTGGGGCCCTGGGGAGGTTCCTGGTGATACTAGCTGGGCAGGACAGGTCAAAGGTTGGAGGAGGCGGAGCTCCTGGACCCCCAGGCCACCCCCTCAGTGCTCGGGGGCCTTCAGGGCTACCTCCAGCCATGTGAGGGGTGCCCAGGGCCCCGCCCTGCAGTGCTTGGTGGCTTAGGGATTCTGAGACAAGAAACCAGCTGTCCAAGCAGAAGGCCAAGAGGGACTAGACCAGGCAGGGGCAAAGCCTTTATATGACCCCAAAACTGAGAGAACCCCTTGGGGTGGACGGAGATGGCTGCAGCCCACAGCCGCAGTGGCTGGAATGTCACAACCACAGCTGCTGCCTCTCCCTCATCTGCCTGTCCTGACCCTGCCCCCCACCCAGAACTGGACACACGACTTTCAGTGACCCCAAGCCCTGACAGGAGTGACCCCTGAGCACTGCTGGGTTGGCCCAAAAAAACAAAAATGAAAACAAAAACCAAGAAGCACCCTTTGGAGAAGGCCCGTGACACAGTCACCATCAGTGGCCGGCCTGGTGTGTGCAGACCGGCTGTGTGTACACGCATGTACAAACGTGTGTGTGCATGCTTGCCTGGGTCACAGTCACACGGTTCTCTCTGGCTCACGATCACAGAGGCCTGCTGACACAGTCCCCCGTATGTGGCTGAGTTCGCGACTGTCGGATTCCCCCAGCCCACCCCACGCACCACGCAGGACAGGCTCTGGCCCGGCAGAGGTGTCCAGCCTCTGAGATGACCCGCCAAGCTCCAGGCCGCTCCATCCACGGCCCAGGTCCTAAGCCGACACCAGCCAGCTCCCCCCGGCCACAGTGCCCAGCACCACCAGGAGGCGTCGGGGGCAGAGGCCAGGGGACAGCCAGGCGTGTCTCACTGCCATCCCCCGCCTCCCCAGGTCGGCTGCTGGACATCCTCCACACCAAGGGTCAGCGGGGCTATGTGGTCTTCCTGGAGAGTCTGGAGTTCTACTACCCAGAGCTCTACAAGCTGGTGACCGGGAAGGAGCCCACGCGCAGATTCTCCACCATCGTGGGTAAGTGGCCTTGTGGGCCTGAGTCACGTGGGTCTGTGTGTAGCGAAACTTTGTGTGTGAGACTCTGTGTGTGTGAGTCTGTGTATGTTAGTGTGTGTGTGAGTCTGAGTACACGAGTCTGTGTGTAAGAGTCTGCGTGAGAGTCTGCGTGTGTGAGTCTGTATGTGAATCTGTGAGTTTGTGTGTGTGAGTCTGTGTGTGAATTTGTGTGTCTGTGAGTCTGTGTATGAATCTGTATGCGAGAATCTGAGTATATTAGACTGTGTGTGAGAGTCTGTGTGTGTGTGAGTCTGTGTGTGAGTCAGTGAGAGTCTGTGTGTGTGAGTCTGTGTGTGAATCTGTGTGTCTGTGAGTCTGTGTGTCAGTCTGTGTGTGTGAGTCGAGTGTATGAGTCTGAATATGAGTCTGTGTGTGAGACTCTGTGTGAATCTGTGTGTGTGAGTCTGTGTATGAGACTCTGTGTGAGTCTGTGTGTGTTGTCTATGTATGAGTCTGAGTACCTGAGTCTGTGTGTAAGAGTCTGTGTGTTAGTCTGCATGTGTGAGTCTGTGTGAGAATCTGCATATGTGAGTCTGTATGTGAATCTCTGAGTTTTTGTGTGTGAATCTGTGTATGAGAGTCTGTGTGTGAGTCTTTGTGTGAATCTGTGTATCTGTGAGTCTGTGTGTAAGTCTTTGTGTGAGAATCTGAATATATGAGTCTGTGTGTGAGTCTCTGTGTGTTAGTCTGTGTGTGTGAGTCTGTGTGTGTGTCTGAATATGAGTCTGTGTGTGTGAGTCTGAGTATGAGTCTGTGTGTGACAGTCTGTGTGTGTGAGTCTGTGTGTGAGTCTGTGAGGGTCTGTGTGTGAGAGTCTGTGTGTGAGTCTGTTTGTGTGAGTCTGAGTATGAGTCTGTTTATAAGAGTCTGCATGTGCGAGTCTGTGTGTGAATCTGTGTAAGTCTGTGTGTGAGTCTGTATGTGAATCTGTGTGTCTGTGAGTCTGTATGTGAATCTCTGTCTGTGAGTCTATGTGTGTGAGTCTGTTTGTGTGAGTCTGTGTGTGTTAGTCTGTGTGTGTGAGTCTGGGATGAGTTTGTGTGTGAGGGTCTGTGTGTGTGAGTCTGCGTGTGAGTCTGTGTGAGTCTGCGTGTGAGTCTGTGTGAGTCTGTGTATGTGAGCCTGTGTGAGTCTGTGTATGTGAGTCTGTGTGTGAGTCTGTGTGAGTCTGTGTGAGTCTGTGTGTGTGAGTTCTGCATGTGAGTCTGTGAGAGTCTGTGTATGTGAATCTGTGTGAATCTGTGTGTCTGTGAGTCTGTGTCTGTGAGTCTATATATATATGAGTCTATGTGTGTGTGTGAATCTGTGTGTCTGTGCATCTGTGTGTGAGAGTCTGTGTGTGACAATCTGTGTGTGAGTCTGTATGTGAATCTGTGTGTCTGTGAGTCTGTATGTGAATCTCTGTCTGTGAGTCTATGTGTGTGAGTCTGTGTGTGTGAGTCTGTGTGTGTTAGTCTGTGTGTGTGAGTCAGGGTATGAGTTTGTGTGTGAGGGTCTGTGTGTGTGAGTCTGTGTGTGAGTCTGTGTGAGTCTGTGTGTGTGAGTCTGCATGTGAGTCTGTGAGAGTCTGTATATGTGAGTCTGTATGAATCTGTGTGTCTGTGAGTCTGTGTATATGAGTCTATGTGTGTGTGTGTGAATCTGTGTGTCTGTGCATCTGTGTGTGAGAGTCTGTGTGTGACAATCTGTGTATGAGTCTGTGTGAATCTGTGTGTCTGTTAGTCTGTGTGTGTAAGTCTTTGTGTGTGAATCTCCATCATCGGTGGGGTGAGTCTGGGTGGAGGTACAGGGGGGCGGGGGTGTGTGTGTATGTGTGTGTGCACACTCCTGCATCTCTGTGATTGGTATGTTGTGTTATGTCTGTCCAGTAGTGGCCAGCTCCAAAGCTCCTGAGGGACTGAACCCCCCTGTGCCCACAGGCTGTCACTGGCTCATTCTGGCCTGCTGGTGGCAGTGACGCAGGGTGCAGTCCCCTGGGAGGGGGAAGAGGCAGGGGCTCCCATCCTCTCTGCAGCTGTCCTGTCTGTCCTCTTGTTGCCAGAGTCCTGGGTCCCTTTTATCTCCTTCCAGAACAGTCTCACCTCACACACCCAGCCCCTCCCTGCCCCCCTTCCTGCTCTGATGCCTCGCCAGCCTCCTTGGCCTTCACCTTCCCACCCCGACACCATCCCACCTTCACACTTCACACCTTCCTTCCTGCACATCTTCACACCTTCACAACTTCATCACTTCACACCTTCCCACCCTGACACCTTCCCACCATCCCGCCTTCCCACCTTCCCACCTTCAGACCTTCACACATTCACACCTTCACACCATCCTGCCCTCACACCTTTCCACTCTGACACCTTCCCGCCTTCACACCTTCCCACCTTTCCACCTTCACACCCTGATACCTTCCCGCCTTGATACCTTCTCACCTTTACACCTTCCCACCCTGACACCTATCTGCCTTCACACATTCCCACCTTCACACCTTCCCACCCTGTCACCTCCCCACCTTCACACCTTCACACCATCCTGCCCTCACACCTTTCCACCTTCCTGCCTTCCTGCCCTCACACCTTCATACCTTGGACCTCCCTGCTTTCACACCTTCACAGCTTCCTATGCTAACATCTTCCCAAGCTCCTGGCTTCTGGCTAAAGCCTGAAGCTTTGCTACAAGCAGAGGCCCTGGCTGGGTGTCCGCTGCCCTCCTGCCTCTCCCCTGGGCCCACTCTACTGCCCTTCCAAGGCTCCATCCCCCCTCCCCAAAGCTGGGCATGGTCCTGGCTGCATGAGATCCCACGGGAACGTCTCTCCAGCTCCTGCGCCCCTCTGCCTCTACCACGCGCAGCCCAACACAATCATCCCTGGGATCACTGCCGGTCACTGCCTGGGCCACACCTCCCTGTGCTGCATGGCGCTGGCCGGCCATCCTGACCATTCTGACCGCCCGTCTCCACAGTGGAGGAGGGCCACGAGGGCCTCACGCACTTCCTGATGAACGAGGTCATCAAGCTTCAGCAGCAGATGAAGGCCAAGGACGTGCAGCGCTGCGAGCTGCTGGCCAAGGCGCGCCAGCTGGAGGACGAGAAGAAGCAGCTGACGCTGGCGCGCATGGAGCTGGTCACCTTCCAGGAGCGCTGCCGCAAGATGAAGGAGGAGCGCGATGGCTACAGCGACGAGCTGGCCAAGGTCAAGGACGACAACTACAACCTGGCCATGCGCTACGCACAGCTCAGCGAGGAGAAGAACATGGCAGTGATGCGCAGCCGGGACCTGCAGCTGGAGGTGAGGCGCCCACAGGCTGTGTGTGTGCACGTGTGTACATGTGTATGCACACATTGTGTGAATGTGTACATGCATGTGTGTATGTGTGCCTGCATGTGTACATGTGTGTGCACACATGTTATGTGCGTGTGTGCGCACGTGTGTGCATGTGTACATGCATGTGTACATGTTGTGCGTGCGTGTGTGCACACGTGTGTGCGTGTGTGCCCGCATGTGTGTACATGTGTGTGCACACGTGTTGCATGTGTACCTGCGTGTGTGTGCACATGTATGTGTGTGCGCGCGCATGTGTATGCGCGCACATGCCCACAGAGATCAGGAGGCTGCACGTGCACAGTGCCGTAGGGCTCAGAGTGCATGTGTCCCACGGGGAGCCCACTCTCTGCCACCCAGGGGTCCGGCACAGACTGACAGAGGGACAGACAGGACCATTGTGATGGTCAGCAAGCAGGTGCACACAGCACCTGTCCAGGAACGGGAGGACCTGCACCAGGACTGGCCACCGTGTCCACGATGCGTATCCAAGCTATTGGCAAACACCCCGCCAGCCACTGATAAACGTGGTCAACCAGAGCAGGACTGGCCCTGCTGGCCACAGGCCAACACTGTGTCTGGCAAGTGGACCAGGCCCTCAGCTTCTTCCCAGGACCTCTGATTCCAGCCCAGCCGCATTCTGACCCAAACACAGCGCTGGGACACTCGCTTGGATGTGTGTCACACAGAGAGAACACGTGAGGCCGGCGCGAAGAGGTGCCATGGGAAGCCGATGGCCAGTGCGGGGCAGGGAGTGGCGTGGGAGGAAGGAGAAACTGGGCCCCACGCTGTCGGGCCTCACCAGAGCAGGGCAGGCGGCGGCTCCCAGGGTGCGTGTCTGCCGGTGTCTCCAGAGACAGTGAAGACGGGACTTAAGCAAGGGCAGGGCAGGAGGTGGGAGAGCTCAGGGCCTGGGCAGCCAAGACGGGAAGCCAGGGACAGCTTGAGAGCTGACAGTGACCTCGGCAAAGGGGCGCTGACTCTGGCTGGCCCAGCGCAGAGTACTTCCCCAGCACTGCTGAGCTCCAGACACGCACGGATAGATCAGCGGTTTCTGCTCAGTCACTTGCTGTAGACGCAGGCCCCTAGTGTCTGCTGGGAACAGGCCCTCAGGCCTTCCTGCACTGCCCCATAGGGCGCAGCCTCAGCCCCCCACCTGGAAACAGGGAGGGTATATTCTTGCACCATGAGGCGCTGCTCTCCGAGTCTCTGCTGCTGTGACTGTGAGGGGCTGGGCCGGGGGCTCCACGCAGCCCCTAGGGTGAGAATGCAGGAGCCTGGAGAGACTCCCCACACTCAGGAGGGAGTTCTGCAGGATCTGGAGTTTGACTCGTGCTGGGAAGCCAGACCCTTCTCCCGCCCGTCTCCCCTATCTATGCAGCGAGAGGGGTCCAGAGCAGGACAGTGTCTGGTGAGCTGAGACCCTAGGCCCGCCCACCCCAGCGTCCGCTGCTGCCCTTGCCCGGCCTCTCTCAGCCTGCCTATGTCCATTTCCCCCCAACCCCAGAGCTGGGCAGATGCCCACACTTGGGGTACCTCCACTTGGTGCCCTCTTAGCCCAGCAGCCTTGTTTGAGGCTTCAGGGAGTTTTGGTGCGAGGCCAAAGGGCCAGCACTGGTCCCAGAGTCGTTACTTCCCTCTCGAGGGTACCACTTGCATCTCTCGGGGGGCCCTTGCCAGTGGTCCTGCCACCCGAGAATCCAGCACCTACCTGACACGCGGGTCAGGAGCTGTTGGTGCGACAAGCCTGGTTGGCAGTGTGCCTCTTGCACCAGACTCTTGTGTGGACCCCGGAGGGTCAGCAGATGGGTGGACTGGGCCTCCCAAGCCTCACAGCTTCTCTGCCTCCTCTAGGTCCCCCTACGGCAGCCCAGGGTTTTGGGGGGGTCGTGCAGTGAAGAGCCTTTGGGCTCACTGGGCTCCAGACTTCGTCAGCCAATGCCTCCCCAGCGGTGCCGGGGCAGCCCTGGTGCTGTTGCCCCCTATGGTGTGGCCCATGCTCAGGATCCAAGGGGTCCCGAGGAGCTGGACCTGGAGCTTGGGGCTCTCTTTGCTCATGCTAAGTCTGTGTCTCCTCCCGGCATGTGAGGTGTCTGATCTCGACCTCAGCTCCCCACAGGTGTACCGAGGGGCCTTCGAAAGCACCTCCTGAACCTCAGAGCCACCCTGACTCGGGGAGGCAGGGAGAGGAGACAGGATCTGAGAAAGGGGCAGGGGGCATGTGAAAGCTCATGGGGTCTGGGGGGTGGGGGTGCTGCCTGCTCTGGGCGTCTCTGCCTGCGGCCTCCAGCCCACTCCCCCCGGGGTGTTGCAGATCGACCAGCTGAAGCACCGGCTGAATAAGATGGAGGAGGAGTGCAGGCTGGAGAGGAACCAGTCACTGAAACTGAAGAATGACATCGAGAACCGGCCCAAGAAGGAACAGGTGCTGGAGCTCGAGCGGGAAAATGAGATGCTGAAGACCAAGATCCAGGAGCTGCAGTCTGTCATCCAGGTGGGGCAGGCAGGGTGGGCAGGGGTGAGAAGGGAGGGGCAGGGTGGGCAGGGGTGAGGAGGGAGGGAGGGGCGAGGTGGGCAGGGGTGAGGAGGGAGGAACAGGGTGGGCAGGGATGAGAAGGGAGGAACAGGGTGGGCAGGGATGAGAAGGGAGGAACAGGGTGGGCAGGGGTGAGGAGGGAGGAAGGGGAAGGGTCAGCAGGGGTGAAGAGGGAGGGAGGGGAAGGGTGGGCAGGGGTGAGGAGGGAAGGAGGCAGGGTGGGCAAGGGTGAGGAGGGAGGGGCAGGGTGGGCAGGGTTGAGGAGAGAGGGGGTAGGTAGGGTGAGGAGGGAGGGAGAGGCAGGGTGGGCAGGGGTGAGGAGGGAGGGGCATGGTAGGCAGGGGTGAGGAGGGCCCGGGAGTGAGGGCAGAGGAGAAAATGGACCTCGGTGCTGGACAGGGGTCTGACCCAGAGCCCCAGCAGCGTGGATACTTCCAGCCCTGGGCTGCCGCGTTTTCTCGGTGCCGAGTGGGTTAGCCCAGCCCCGGCTGCCAGAGGCAAGACTCACTCCCTAATGGACTCTGTCCGGGACGGGCCTCATTGCCAGGCCCCTCCCCAGCAGTGCGGCCCCCTCAGGGACTCCAACGTCTGGGCACAGGCCTCCAGGGAGGGTCTGGGGCAAACGCCCCCAGATGTTGAGGGAAATCGGGCAGCCCTCCCTGGACGCGGCCTGGGAGGCGGCTCCAGGCATCTGCAGCGACGGGGCAGCGGGCTGGGGGTCAGAGCTGGAGGTCTCCGTGCTGCGTTCCCAGCTCGTGGGTCCGCCTAATGCCCGCCCGGTGCCCGCCAGGCTGGGAAGCGCAGCCTGCCCGACTCGGACAAGGCCATCCTGGACATCCTGGAGCACGACCGCAAGGAGGCCCTGGAGGACCGGCAGGAGCTGGTGACCAAGATCTACGACCTGCAGGAGGAGGCTCGCCAGGCCGAGGAGCTTCGGGACAAGGTGGGCTGGACTTCGCAGTGGGCTGACCCGCGGGCCGGCCCCACACACTTTGGGGTTCCCACCCCACTCGCTCCCCTCCCAGCAAATCCCAGTCTGTTGCTCAGCAAATATGAGTGGCCGACAACCGAGGGAGGGACAGCCCTGAGCCAAGCCTGGAGCCGGTCCTGGCCGGGTGGGTAATGGCCACCGTGCCCACAGTACCTGGAAGAGAAGGAGGACTTGGAGCTGAAGTGCTCGACACTGGGCAAGGACTGCGACATGTACAAGCACCGCATGAGCACAGTCATGCTGCAGCTGGACGAGGTGGAGCGCGAGCGCGACCAGGTGCGTCCCCCAGCCCGAGGCACCTCGCAGGAGGCCAGGAGGGGCCAAGCTGGCCCCAGAGCTGGCTCCGGGGGAACCTGCTGTCACTCACGGCCCCTTCTCTGCTGTCTGTAAACCCGAGTGAAATGGCTGCGAAGCCCCGGCAGGAAGGGACCTGAGGCACCAGGGTTCTTGGCACAGACTGTCGAGGAAGGTGACTAAGGAGACGGGGTTGGGAGTGGACGGGGCGTGCCAAGGTCATGGAGTGGACAGGTGGACTGAGATGGCTGGGGGTGGACGGGCTCATCTGGCTGAGGGTGGATGGCTGACCCTGGCTGGGAGTGAACAGGCAGGCTGACTTGGCTGGGGATGGACGGCTGACCTGGCTGAGGGTGGACAGGCTTACCCTGGCTGTGAATGGACAGGCAGGCTGACCTGCTGGGGATGGATGGGCTGACCTGTCTGGGAGTGGACAGGCGGGCTGCCCTGACTAAAGGTGAACAGGTTGACCTGGGGGGTGGACAGGCAGGCTAATATGACTGGGGATGGATGGGCTGACCCTGACTGGGGGTGGACAGGCAGGCTGACCTGACTGGAGGTGGACGGGCTGACCTGACTTGGGGGACAGGCTGACCCTGGCTAGGAATCTCCCTGCCTGACCCCCTGGCTGTCCTGCCAGGCTGGTGGGCAGGAGCGTCAGCCTGGTGCCCGTCCGCTGCCCATAGGCCTTCCACTCGCGGGACCAGGCGCAGACCCAGTACTCACAGTGCCTCATCGAGAAGGACAAGTACCGGAAGCAGATCCGCGAGCTGGAGGAGAGGAACGACGAGATGCGGATCGAGCTGGTGCGGCGGGAGGCCTGCATCGTCAACCTGGAGAGCAAGCTCCGGCGCCTGTCCAAGGACAGCCTGGACCAGGTGGGCACCTGCACCCTCACCCTCCACCTCAGGCTCGCAGCTGACCCAGAGACCCCTCCCAGGCTCCTGACTTGGGGGCCTGCAGATCCCAGCACACTGCCAGGCCAGGGGTGGCACTCAGAGGGGTGAATGGCGCTGTAAGGGGTGTGGCTGGCCTGCGGGTTCCTGGGTGCACCATCAGCTCCATCCACAGTGTGTCCGCAGGCTGCAGGGAACCTGTTTTTTGTTTGTTTCTTTGTTTGTTTGCTTGCTTGCTTTTTGGGACACCCAGTGATGCACAGGGGTTACTTCTGGCTCTGCACTCAGGAATGACTCCTGGCGGTGCTCAGGGGACCATATAGGATGCTGGGAATCGAACCCGGGTCGTCCACATGCAAGGCAAACGACCTACCGGCTGTGCTATCACTCCAGCCCCGGGAACCTGGGTTCTGAAGGGGCACAATGGGCACCGAAAACCCTCTGCTCGGTGGTTGGACGTCCCCAGCGCCCACAGGAGAGAGCGGGGAGGGGAGTGGCAGGGGAGTTGGACTCAGGGTTCCTCTGGGGCCTGAGGATTTGGCCTGGACAGAGATGCCCCTCCCCCAAGTTTTCCAAGTTTCAAAAAAAACTCACCCAAAACTCAGAACCAAGCTCCACCGGCCACTCCATCCCCGGCCCTGGCCCTCTGTCCACAGAGCCTGCCCCGGAATCTGCCAGTAACCATCATCTCTCAGAGCCTGGGGGACACCAGCCCCAGGACCAATGGCCAGGAGGCCGACGACTCCTCCACATCCGAGGAGTCCCCGGAGGACAGCAGATACTTCCTGCCCTCCCAGCCTCGCAAGCGCAGGATGAACCTCAAAGCCATCCAGGTGCCGTGCGGGTAGCTCAGGGGACATGGGGCCCAGCCACACTGGCCCAGCTCGGCCCAGCGGGAGGGTCCCGTGGCTCCCGCCATGCCAGCTCTCACTCCCTCCCAGGCAATGGACGTTTGAGCAGGGGGAGCCAAGGGAGGGGGAGAGAAGCATTGTTCCCAAATTCGCCTGTTTATGCAACAAATAAGTATTGTCTTCAGTGGATGCTTTTATATTAATTGCTTGTGATGGGCACCATTTGGGAGCTGGAGGTGGAGCAGGAATCCATCTGCTCAGTATCTGGTGCAATCAATCCACGTGCACCACCGACTCACGAGAGAGTGGAGGGGGGAGGCGGGGGGAGGGGAGAAAATACATGTCCGTAAGAGCGTGTGTTGGAGTGAGAGAAGGGCGGAGGAGGGTGAGCTGAGTGAATAGTGGGCAAGCGTGAATGAGTGTGTGAGCGAGATCGTGGAGGAGAGCGTAGGTGACAAGTGAGAGCATTAGTGGGTGTGAAGGGACGAGAGAGAACGAGTGGGTGGGTGGAAGAGCAAGTGAATAGGTGCCTTCGCAGGTGGGTTGGTGAGTGAGTGGGTGGTGATTGGGTGGCTGGGTGGTGAGTGAGTGGGTGGTGGGTGGGTGGGTGGACGGGTGGGTGAGTGAGTGGGTGAGTGAGTGGGTGGGTGGTGAGTGAGTGGGTGGATTGGTGAGTGAGTGGGTGGGTGGTGAGTGGGTAGATGGGTGGGTGGTGAGTGAGTGGGTGGTGATTGGGTGGGTGGGTGGTGAGTGTGTGGGTGGTGATTGGGTGGGTGGATGGGTGGGTGAATAGGTGGATGGCTGGTGAATGGTTGGGTGAGTGGGTGCTGAGTGGGTGGGTTGATGAGTGGGTGGGTGCTGAGTGGGTGGGTGGTGAATGAGTGGGTGGTGATTGGGTGGGTGGATGGGTGGGTGGTGAGTGAGTGGGTGGGTTGGTGAGTGGGTGGGTGGGTGGTGAGTGACTGGGTGGGCTGGCGAGTGGGTGGGTGGTGAGTGGGTGGATGGGTGGGTGGTGAGTGAGTGAGTGGGTGGTGAATGGTTGGGTGGGTGGGTGCTGAGTGAGTGGGTGGGTTGATGAGTGGGTGGGTGGTGAGTGGGTGGGCTGGTGAGTGGGTGGGTGGGTGGTGAGTGAGTGGGTGGGTTGGTGAGTGGGTGGGTGGGTGGTGAGTGAGTGGGTGAGTGGTGAGTGGGTGGGTGGTGAGTGAGTGAGTGGGTGGGTGGGTGGTGGATGAAAGAGAGTGGACAGGCAAACGGGCAGGTGAATGGTGGGTCGGGGTGGGTAGGTGGATGGGTGGTCGGTGAAAGAGGCCATCTCAGAAGGGAAAGGTGTGACGGGGCCTGGCTATGCCGGCCTTTAAATACCCCCCAGCCCCCACCACCCCAGTGTGCACCCATGGAACCAGGAGTGTGGGTGGCACATCAGAGACCCTAGGGGACCTAGAAGCCACAGGTGTGGGCGTGGCCAGGTCTCGCCGTTCCCTGAACAACTGCTCTGAGGTGCTGCCCTCCAGTCACTGGGGAGGGCGTCCCGAGCCCCAGAAAGGGTGAGCCTTGACACACCCCCTTCTGCAGCTGCAGCGCGCCAAGTCCCCCATCAGCCCGAAGCACATCGCCGACTGCCAGGGTGAGTGGCGCCCTCACTGTGCCCAGACGCCCCACCCCACCCCTTGGCCCACTGCCACAGCGCCCCCACTCAGCCCCCGCCTGCTCCCACCCTCTGGGCAGCTCTGTCCTGTTTGCAGGGGGCCGCCGGGGTCCCCAAAGGGCCCCTGGACACTGTCTTCTGCGCTCCCGTGCTTTGTACCCACCTCAGGTGGGAGATGCCCAGCAGCTAGGCCAGAGAAGCTTCCAGAATGCTAATACTGAAGCGGGTGCCCCGGCAGGGAGGCAGAGGCGGCTCTGGGCACAGAAGAGAGTGAAGCAGGGGAGGTGGGCGGAGGGCAGCCCCGACACTGTCTCCAGGAGGGGCGCCCAGGAGTGAAGCGGGGAGCCACGACCCTGCCCCGGGAGGTGGACACCCCAAGAGCCGGACTCGTCCACCCTCGACCGTCCTTGCGGGGGACGGGGCAGCGAGGGGCAGAGCCTGGCCTCAACGCCACTCCTTCCCCTGCACGCACTGGCCAGTGAGGACCCTCGAGGAGGAGGGAAGCGCCGGCAGCCCCAGCTCCTGCAGATCCCTGCCCGTGTCCACCACCTTCGCCATGGTGAGCCGCCCCACTCCACGGTGCTCGGGCCCGTTTGCACCTTCCTGCCACCAGCCTCCCCAACCCAACACTCGGCGGGGGGAGAAGTTCGGGCAGAGGGGTGGTCGCCAGCGTCCGCCAGAACCTCCAGCCCCAGGCGGGAAGTGCCGGTGCCCACACAGAGGTCAGCTCCAGCCGGCCTGCCCCCCCAGGCGAGCCGGGACCCCTCAGCCCAGCCTCCGAATTCAGCCCCGGGAGGGGAGGCCCGAGCTCGCGTTCTCACTCTCCCAGGTCACAGTGTGGGGGTAGCCAGCTCTGGCTGGGCAGGCGCCAGGACCACTGCCCCTCGAGGCCCGACAGATGTTCTGGCAGATGCACAGGACTGTGGCTGCCCGGGCCTGGGGTCCTCTCGGGCCAAGGTCGCAGCTGAGGCAACTCGGCCTGTGCTAGAGGCAGGGAGGCCTTGCATCTGGGTTTATGTGTTTATGTGTGTGTGCGTTGGGCGTCTATATGTCGTGTGTGTTTGTGTCTATGTCTCTGAATGGAAGTGTTTGTGTGTTCGTGCGTATGTGTGTGCATGTGTATGCTTGTGTGTACATGTTTATGTGTATCCATGCGTGTGCATGTACATGTGTTCATGTGTGTTTATGTATGTCTGTGTGGGTGTGCTGTATATGTGTAAATTTATGTGTGTGCATGTGTTCATGTATGCACATATGCATGTGTTCACGTGTATGCACGTGTGTATGTGTTCGTGTGTGTGCATGTTCATATGTGTGCCTTGTGTGCATATGCAGGTGTATGTTTGTATGCATGTGTGTATCATGTGCACATGTGTGTTCATGCATGTGTTTGCGTGTGTGCACGTGGTGTGCAGAGCAGCCCATGCTGAGCCATGCAGGGTTCACTTGCTCACTCACAGCCACCTCACCGGAGCCGCTCCAGCATCATGTCCATCACGGCCGAGCCCCCAGGGAACGACTCCATTGTCAGGAGGTGCAAGGAGGATGCCCCGCAGCGCAGGTGGGTCCCCAGGTGGTGGGCAGGGGCCTCTCTGCATCCACTGGGGGCAGCTCCTCTGCTCCTCCACTCCCCAAGGACACTTGAGGCCCCGTGGCCCCAGGTCCCAGCGTCCCACAGTCCGTGGCCCCTTTTGTCCCACCCCAATATGGGGTGAGGATGAGTGAGGGGAGGGGCAGGTGGTAACCTGGGCCCCTGCCTCTGCTCCCGCCTCAACCCCACAACCTCACCTCCATCCAGCCTGATGGAAACTGATGTGTGTACGTGGGCCCCACCTCTCACACATGCTGCACCGTGCACACGTGTGTACACAGGCCCCGACCCCGTATCTTGCAGCACAGTGGAGGAGGACAATGACAGCGGCGGGTTTGAAGCCCTGGACTTTGACGGTAGGTGGCCGGTGGAGCCAGGGGCTTGGGAGGGACAGCTGTGCAGAGCCGCTGGGCGGTGCTGGCTCTGATGCTAAACTGGGTGAACTGGGGGTGTCTGAGGGCAGGAGCCCCCTCGGGTGCTGATGAGCCCTGGTGCACGTGGAAACGCCCTGGTCGGCCTTGCAGGGGTGCAGCTGGAGGGCAGAGGGGCCAGAGGGGCCCAGGGACGGGAAGGGTTGGGTGTGGAGGGGGCTGGGGTGCAGTTCAGACCCTAAGATTGGAGGTTTGAGGCAGGTGAGCGTGGTGGTCAGAGCTGAGCATGCAGGAAGTGCCCTGCCAGAACATTCCATACAGAGCTGGCATCGAAGCTCAGCCCAGGGCGAGCCCGTGCTGGGTGCGCCAGGCACGGCCCGTGTCCTGGAGGCTGGGGCGGCCATGCCCGAGGGACAGTGGCTCACAGGCACACAGCAACGAGAGGCAATGGGTGGGGCAGGAGGGGCTGCAGGGGCCCTCGGGAGGTGACCTATGAGTCATGGGATCAACACCGGTGTCCCGGGGCCCTGTGGAGCGTAGACCCTGGAGAGAGGCACCAACCCCCCCTCCCCAGCCACTGCTCGGCTGCAGAGGAGCAAAGGCAAGATTAGTGGCCTTCCCTAATTGGGGACCATCAGAAGCTATCAAGTGTTAAAGAGAGGTTAGCACCTAATAGAGGCGGTAATGAGAAGAATTGAAAGAGTTTTGGAAAGGAGAGAGCCAGGAAGAGAGTTCCGGGCAGCCGGCCAAAGCGTTTTTGCAGTGTCGGGATAAATTCCTCGTGCACTGGAGCCTTTGTTATCAGCCCCGAACAGGCTCTGCAGAGCCTGCGCCCCGGCTGCGGCATGGGTGGGCGTCTCCCGGGCCCAGGCATAAGGGGCTTCTCAGGCTCTGGACTCTGGACTCTGCTCTTCCACCCCACTCAGCCCCCTGTACCGATGAGAAAGCAGACCCTTTGGGCCCCGATACAGAGCTAGAAATATGCTGGGAAAAAAAACAGACATGCATGGTCTCACACACACACACAAACACACACACACGAGAGCACACATATGCACATGCGAACACATGTACAGTCACACACATGCACATGCAGGCACACTCACACACACACATCCCCACACACATGCATAGTCACACATGCACACACAAGCACACATATGCACATGCACACACACGTGCACAGTCATGCACACACATGCAAGCGTACGTACATGCACACACTCATACACATACACACACATGTACATGTGTACATACACACGACACATGTGCACACATACACGCACACAAACGTGCACATATGCATGGGCCTGCACGCTCACACATGTACACACATGCATATGAACACACCTGCACACACACAAACATGAGCACGTATGCATGAGCATGCACACACATGCATGTCACACATGTGCTTAAGTACACATACGCTCACATACACACATGTTCATGTACAGTCACACGTGTGCACACATGCACATGCATGCATGTTTCCGGGTAGGGAGAGTAAGAAGCCGGGCCTTTCCTAAGGGGTCTCCTTGGAGGCACGGGTGGGCACACCTGGCTGCTGCTTCTGGCAACCAGAAGTCACAGGGTCTCCCGGGGAGCCTGGGGGTGGATAGGGGCTTGGTTTGAGCACCTGCCCCTCACGCACTCCACCCTGTGCAGATGACAGCCATGAGCTCTCCTCCTTCGGACCCCCCTCTGTCCACTCCTCCTCCTCCTCCCACCAGTCGGAGGGCCTGGATGCCTACGACCTGGAGCAGGTCCACCTGATGTTCAGAAAGTTCTCCCTGGAAAGGTATGGGGGGGGCACCCCTGGTCTAAGGCAGGGCAGGGACCCAGCGACCAGAGTGACAGATGGCTGCTCCGGCCGAGCTGTGGACCAAGACCGAGGGCCAGGATTCTGCTGGGGTGGGGGACAGCCCAGGCAGTGCTGGTGCTCCGGGAGCTGCCTGAGCACTGCCCCTCCCCCACCCAGACCCTTCCGGCCATCTGTGACTTCAGCAGCCCAGGCACGGGGCCCTGGGCCCACCGTGCAGCGGGCCACACTGAGCGGGGACGGCCTCACCTCCCAGCTTTCCGTGCTGGGGGGCAACGCACGCGGCAGCTTCGTCCACACAGTCAAGCCGGGTTCGCAGGCGGAGAAGGCCGGCCTCCACGAGGGCCACCAGCTGCTGCTGGTGAGGAACTGGGCGGCGTGGGGGTGACGGGGGGCCCCTGGGGAGGAGCAGCGGTTTTCCAGGGGCCTGTGAGCACACAGAGCCCAGCAGGAAGTGTCTTCACGTCTAGTTGGAGGGCTGCATCAGGGGCGAGAGGCAGAGCGTCCCCCTGGACTCGTGCACGAAGGAGGAGGCACACTGGACCCTGCAGAGGTGCAGTGGCCCCGTCACGCTGCACTACAAGGTCAACCACGAAGGTGAGGGTGGCCGGACGGGAATGGGACGGGCCGCGTGGGTTCAGGGGCGGATGGGGACAGGACAGGCGGGGACAGGGCAGACGGGGAAAGGGCAGGTGGGGACAGGGCAGGCAAGATCAGGTGCCTGCAGGGAGAGATGGCAGGTGTCCAGCACCAGGCTGGGAGGGCTTATGCAGTGGATACACCTGCCATGCAGCCAGCGGGACTGATGGCAGGACAGAGCAGGGAGGCAGCGCTACACCCCCAACTGCTGCCCGGCTGAGTCTGCCCCTGTTTGGACACAGCCCTGGGTGGCTCCTCGGGCCCCTGCGAGTCAGCGAGCGGAGCCTGGGCCAGGCCTTTGCTCTGGGACCCCCACCTGGGGGTGCGTGCCTCTTCGTCTGCCTGCCGAGCCCCCAACGTCCCCGGGACTCCCCCTCCAGGGCCGCGCTGCATCTACCATGAGTTTCTAATCATGGGGCTCATGCGTGTCCAGCAGAGGTGCTGCCGACGTCCTCCCGGCAGAGCCTGGTCACCACAGGGGATAAAGATGTCCTTGCTCCCAAGCCTGCCTCCTGCCAGGCCCTGCTGGTGTCTTGGCTAGTGGCCTGGACGGTGCCCTGCCCACTGGTTGTGCAGAGGACCCTGGGTAGTGCCCAGGGTTAGGCAGCGGCTGTGTCTGCCCAGATCAGGTGGTGTGGGTGCCCCGCACAGGAAGGGTTCCCAGGGGACAGAACCCATTTTCCATGCATGGTGCTCAAACCGTCACTGGCCCCAGTGTCCTGGGCACACCTTGGCACAGCATCTGCAGAGCACGTGGCATATTCTGGGTATCAATCAAGGGTTCCATCTGGGTCACACCCTCAGGACTTTGCTGCATTTGTGTCCAGGGCTCACACCTTCCCCAAGGAACCGTGACTTCAGACACCCAGCCACAGTGCTAAGCACTGTGAGCTTCACCCCCGGCTGCCGTGTCTGAGCCACTGAGACTAAATTGGTCTCATCAGCATGGTGCTTCATCTTCTGAGAACATTCCCACGGAAGGCAGCCGAGGAGGAATGGGGGCTCTCAGTGATGTGGAGAGAAATTTGGCACAGCATGGGGACCCTCAGTGACACGATGGGGACCCTCAGTGACAGGAGGGGACCTTCAGTGATGCAGGAAGGAATTGGGACCCTCAGTGATGGGGCTTGCCAGTTTGCAAGTCCCTGCTCCTGTCCAGCGGGACCCAGAGGAGCAGAGTCCTGGGCACCTCATCACGGGGACCCTGGGGGCAGGTGGCTCATGAGCTCAGTGGGAGAGTGTGCACCTCCCCCCCCCCATGGTGGCCTCACCCTGCGGCACTCCCCAGGGTACCGGAAGCTGCTGAGGGATATGGAGGACGGCGTAATCTCATCCGGGGACTCCTTCTACATCCGGCTAAACCTGAGCATCTCCAGCCAGCTGGACGCCTGCACGCTGTCCCTGAGGTGTGATGACGTCGTCCACGTGCGGGACACCATGTACCAGGACAGGCACGAGTGGCTGTGTGCCCGCGTGGACCCCTTCACCGACCAGGACCTGGACGTGGGCACCATCCCCAGCTACAGCCGGTGAGGGGGGTGGGCACGAGGGTGGGCACCATGCCCAGCTGCAAAGAGGCCGTGCCTGCCCCCAGACGGCTTCCCGATGGCTGGGCACCTGCGGGCTGGCACGGCACATATGGCCAGTTAGTACTTTCCTGATGGTCAGTGACCAGAGCTAAGCACAGGTCTCCTGCCAGGTACGCCAGGGCACTCCCTGCAGGCTTCGTCCCTGTGCCTGGTCTGGGCCTCAGGCCTCCTTGATGAGCCCATGCACACGCACACACACACACACACACAAAGGCACACGCCACATGTGCACACACCCATGCACACAAATGCACATGCCACATGTGCACATGTGCACACATCCATGCATGCAAACGCACATGCCACATGTGCACACGCGCACACACACCCACACAGGCAAACACACACGCCACATGTGCACACACCCAGGCAGGCAAACACACACACATCTGCACACACACGTCACATGTGCACACACGCACACACCCACATGCAAACACATGCCACATGTGCACACACCCAGGCAGGCAAACGCACACACCACATCTGCACACGTGTACGTACCCACGCACACAAATGCACATACCACATGTGCACAAGTGCACACACCCAAACACACATGTGCACATGCACACACCACATGTGCACACGCACACACCCACACATGCAAACACACGCCACACGTGCACACACCCATGCATGCAAATGCACACACCACATCTGTACATGAGCACCCATGCGTGGCCCCTGAGGTGCCTCCTGCCCACACAGGGCCCAGCAGCTGCTCCTGGTGAAGCTGCAGCGGCTGGTGCAGAGGGGCAGCCGGGAGGACGCCGAGCCCGCCCACCACACTCTGCGGACCCTGCGGGTAGGTGCCGGGATCCCCCGCTGAGCCCGCCCAGCGCGAGTGGCTCCCTCCCGAGTCTCAGTCCCCTCCCTGGCCCACAGAACACCCTACAACCGGAAGACGTGCAGTCGGCCGCGGACCCCCGTGTCAGCCCCCGCCTCTCGAGAGCGAGCTTCCTGTTCGGTCAGCTCCTGCAGGTACCCCTCGCGGCAGCGGCAGGAGGCTGTGCCCCATCACATAGCCCACCCCTGCCCCCCTGCCTCCCCCTTCTTGCCCCTCTTCGAAGCAAATCCCCTTTTTATGGGAGATTTGAGAAAACCTGTGAGTGCAAAATTCTCCAGTGCTTAGACAGGCAGTGCCCCCTCAGCTGGCCCCCTGCCACAGGGGCACAGAGCTCCCCCGGCTGTGCCCCCCTCCCCACAGAGAAAGGAACCATTAGCAACTTGCTTTAAAACATTATTATTTAAAAAATAAATTAGAAATAGTGTTATCAAGAGAGGGAACTACTCCAGTGCATAGGTCAAGGTAGCCCCAGCCTGAGCTTCCTCTGAGCTGCCTGGCCGGGAAGAAGGAGGTCCCGTGGGTACTCAGGGCGAGACGCCATCCCAGAACTCATCCCAGAGGGTTGGTTTGTCTCGTCTCTCAGCCTGATGCGGAGGCCAGAGGGCAGGCGGGTTCTGTGGTTCCAGCATAAGGGGCCCCACCAGGCACTGCTGGGCTGCCCACAGTCCCTGAGAGACATCAGGGACCCCAAGAAATGCGCCGCATGTGGGCCTGAGCTGGCGGGAAGGCTGGGGGTCTTGCTCGGGCAGGAGAGGTCCCAGCCCGTGCCCCCCCCCCCCGCCCCAGTTCGTCAGCAGGTCCGAGAACAAGTACAAGCGCATGAACAGCAGTGAGCGTGTCCGCATCGTCTCGGGAGGCCCGCTGGGCAGCAAGGCCCGGACCTCGCTGGACGCCACCCGGGGCTTGGCCGAGAGGACGGAAGGTGAGGGGATCCCCGCCTGGCCCACCCACCCCTCCAGCATGGTTGCTGGGTGTTTCCTGGCGTGTCTGCCCCTCGGTGCCTCCCACTCCCAAGCCGGGCCTGGGCCTCCTCCCGCCAGGGCTGACGGCCCCCACGGCCCCTTGTTGCCCCAGAGCCAGAGCCAGAGAGTGAGCTGGGCAGAACCCTCAGCCTGGTCCCCTACAGCCTGGTGCGCCCCGTCTACTGCGAGCACCGCCGGCCCGTGCTCTTCGCGCCCAGCATGCTGGCCCGGGCACTGGTACAGCGGCTGCTCAACTCGGCGGGTGCCATGGAGCTCACCATGTGCAAGCCAGGTGCGTCCCACCTCCCCCGCCCTCACCGTCTCTCCTTCCTGCCCCTCCTCTCTTCCTCCCCCCCCACACTCCCTCCTCCCCCTACACCTGCCCCTCTCCCTTCCCCCATCTGCAACCAGAGCCCCCCAGAGCAGGGTGCAGTGGGGGACGGTCTGTGGGATGCTCCTGAGGGTGACAGCAATGGTCATAGGGTCATCCAGGACACCAATGAGGGAACGTCAGCTGGACCCCTCACTGGGGCCTCCGTGTGCCCAGTCCTGGCCACACACGGGTGGTGGTGTGAGAAAAGGCCTACTGTGGGCCAGTCCTTGTCCAGAACACCCTGCCTCTCACCAACAGCTCCCGCCCAAGCACCCATCCCTCCCCTACTCTGGCTTCTGTCCTATGGGTGCCGCCCCTCTAGGGGCTCACACGTGTGTATCAGACAGGATATGTGCATCTGACATGGATTTCGGTTGCAGGCTGTGAGTGTGCATGTGTAAGAGTGTGTGGGTGTGTATATGAGTGTGTATGAGGGTGTGTACATTATGTGTTTTATATGTGGTTGGATGACTTCATGGATGGGGGAATGGATGGACAGATGGATGGATGGGTAGACAGAAAGACAGGTGCATGGATGAATGTATGGATGGGTGGGTGAGTGGGTGGATGGATGGGTGGATGAATGGGTGGATGGATGGATGATGGGTGGGTGGGTGAGTGGGTGGATGCTTGGATGTGTGGGTGGGTGGATGGATGGCAGGTGGACAGACAGGTGCATGGATTTATGGATGGATGGATGGATGGATGGATGGATGGGTGGGTAGATGAATGGATGATGGTTGGATGGGTGAGTGGGTGGATGCTTGGATGAGTGAATGGATGGGTAGATGGATGGATGGGTGGATGGATGTATGTGTGTATGGATGGATGGATGGGTGGATGGATGATGGGTGGATGGATGGATGGATGGATGATGGGTGGGTGGGTGAATGGGTGGATGCTTGGATGGATGGATGGATGGATGAGTGGATGAATGGATGAATGGATGATGGGTGGGTGGGTGAGTGGGTGGATGTTTGGACGGGTGGGTGGGTGGGTGAGTGGATGGATGGGTAAAAGCATGTATGGTAGGTGGATGAGTGAGTGGAGGGTGGCTGAATGGATCCAGGGATGAATGTTTGTGTGGGTGCATGGATGAGAGGACAGGAAATGCTTCATGGTTGGCAGTTTTTACCTCATGTGCTGTGCCTGAGAACGCGCAGAGCTGTAGTCAAGCCCGAGTGTCTGCCCTCACTGCTGAGGGGCTGTCTGAGGAGGCCCCACCCGCAGGGAGTCTGCTTCTGTGGAAGGGGTGAAGGTCATGCAGCATGACCAGAGGGGATGGAGGTGGAGCTCTTGCTCCCGAGCTCCCCTGCAGGAGCAGGCAGAGCCCAGCAAGGCGGCCTGAACACTGGTACCTGCCCATATGCAGACGTAGTCACGAGGGAGGAGTACCTCAGGAAGCAGAGGCTGGGGCCCGTCATCTACTCCCGGGAGAAGAACCCCAACACCTTTGAGTGCATCATGCCGGCTAATGTGGAGGCTGTGGCCGCCAAGGTGAGGCCAGGGCGGGACACGGCAGTGGCCACGGTAGGGGTGGCAGGGGGCCACCTGGGCAAGACCATCCACGGGCAGCCCTGGTGAGGCCCCTCGGTGTGGGGCTGCCTGTGATAGCTTGCCCTCGACGGCTGCCCCTTGCCCCTAGGCAGCGGCTGGGTGTCTCGTGGCCTGTGTGTATCTGTGATATGGGGCAGGGATAGCACCCTTGAGCCAAGCTGAACACAAGAGAGGGGAGAGGTGGGGCGATGTCCTCCTGCACTGGGACAGTCGAGGGCACCTGGGGGATAGTGTCCCCATCCAGCTGTGTGACTTCCAAGCCAAGCACTGTGACACCCCGGGCCCACCCCTCTGCCCAGTTTTCCTGGCAGAAGCACAACTGGGTGGGGCTCCTCTGTGTCAGGAGGTGGCCTAGGCAGAGGCCTGGCAGAAAGCTCTAGCCATCTGAGGGACATGCCTGCCCAGAGCCAGCAGCCAGGTCCCCATGCTACCGCTGACTGTGTTGAGGCGGGGGAAGTTTGTAAGCTCCAGGAGGCAGAGCAAAAATCGTGGCTTACGTGGCTCTGAGGGGTTGGCTGGAAAGTTGGCACTGGCCAGCCTGGGAAGCCTCTGCTATGACTGGACAGGGCCGCACTGCCACCAGGGGGACCTGGGCCTGGCAACTCTACCCAGTCCCGTGCAAAGCCTAGAACCACCCGGCACACACTGGCCTCAGGGCCGCCTCCTCTGACCAGCCGCCCTGTGGGCAGTGGGCAGCCCGGGTTCTGAGTCCTGCCAGGTGGGGCTCGGCAGCCCCAGTGTCCACATGCAGGGGTGGGCCAAATGGGTCGTGCCCACCGCAGCCCTGACTTGCCTTGACTCCGCAGAACAAACACTGCCTGCTGGAGGCCGGGCTGGGCTGCTGCAGGGACCTCATCAAGGCGGGGATCTGCCCCATTGTGCTCTTCATCCGCGTGGCCGAGAAGAACATCAAGAGGTTCAGGTAGGGCTCCCTGCCCGCCTGTGGGCACCCAGGACCCTCTGGGAGCCAATGAGGGCCGGACACCTCAGGGCGCAACCCTCAACCCAGAGAGCAGCAGGAAGGGGGACCAAGATTGGGAATGTGCGGGGGCGGGGCTGGGTCCTGTGGAGGCGGGGCTGGTCTTTTGGGGCAGGGCTGGAACATGAGGGGCGGGGCTGGGTCCTGTGGGGGCGGGGCTTACTCATTGGGGGCGGAACTTAGTCTTGAGGGGCGGGGCTATGGGCATGAGGGGGAGGGGCTGGGACGTGTGGGCGCAGGGCTGGGGACTGAGAGGGTGGGACTGGTCATGCAGAGGCGCGACTGGGTCCTGTGGGGGTGGAGCTGGAACATGAAGGGGCGGGGCTGGGTCCCGTGGGGGAGGGGATGGGGACATGAGGGGTGGGGCTGGGTTTGTGGGCGGGGCCTGGGGCTGGACTGGGGACAGTTGGGTGGGGCTGGGGACGTAGCTGGGGAGCAGGGGATGTGGCTGGGCGGACATGATGAGGGGATTTGCTGGGGGCAGGGCCAGGACGCGACTTGCGGGCCCTGCAGTGGTGGCACTGGGGCCAGGACATGCAAGGGATGAGCTGGAGGACATTTGGGCCATGCTGGAGGGCTGACCCAGGGGGCCTGCGTGATCTGGGGTGGGGGCAGCCAGACCGGGGGATGCTGGGCAGGTTTTGTCAGCAGGCAAGAGGGACAGCTGTTCCCCAACCCGGGCGTTGCACATGGAGCTGGAAGGTCAGGGTGAGGCAGGGTGGGGAGGGCCCACCGCCGCCAGCATGCCCTGTGCCCACAGGAAACTGCTGCCCAGGCTGGACACAGAGGACGAGTTCCTGCGTGTGTGCCGGAGGAAGGAGAAGGAGCTGGAGTCGCTGCCCTGCCTCTACGCCACGGTGGAGCCGGACGCGTGGAGTAGCGTGGATGAACTGCTGCGTGTCCTCAAGGACAAGATCACCGAGGAGCAGCGCAAGACGGTCTGGGTGGACGAGGGCCAGCTGTGAGGTGCCCTGCGAACCCTTGGAGGGTGGGGGCAGCCGTGGAGACACTCACAGGAACTCCCTGGGGCTAGCCTGGCGTCTGCAAGGAGTGAGAGGGGCCACACAGGACGCAAACCCATACAAAACTGTGGTGTGGCTCACCTAGCCCACGCATCCCAGCAGAGCCCAGCAGCGGGGGAGCATCTGGCCCGGGCCCCTGTGGGACCATCAGGCTGGGTGCCCCCAGCAGGCGGGAGTGTGCCACTCTCGTCTCAGTGTTGCATTAAAAAGTCTCCGTGTCCTTGTTTCTGACCTTCCTCTGTACTCAGTTCTCTGCCAAGAACTGCGGGGACAGGTGGGAACCACAACCCGCAGGTGGACACACAGTCCGGCTAAAGGAGGGAGTGGGCACTCAGCCCAAGGCTCAGGAGACAGGCTGGCTGCTTGCCTCACCAGCACAATATAGCTGCCAGAGCTCCAGGCATCAATCACACCCACACAAGCTGGTTCCTGGGGCCAGAAGGGCCTGTGTCTGATCCTTCCCTCCCACCTCCCTCACCAATTCTGGGCCTGGTCCTCACCTTGGGGTACTGTCATAGGAACAGGACTGGCCACAGCAGGCCTCAGGGGCACCTGGGCGGGGACTGGTTAGTGCCATGGCCCTGCAGCTGTGCTATGTGAGGATAGGCAGACAGGCAGGTCCCCCTACCCTCGTAACACCCCAGTGGATCCCCCTCATTCAGCTCCCAGTCTGAAGCACTTGAGTGCTGGAGTCCCTTGGAGCTGGGGGTAGGGTCCTCCCTCCTGCTGGTCGGTTGAAGGATGTGTGTTGGCCCACGCAGGTGACCAATGCAGCCCCCCAGCTGCCCTTCGAAGGCCCTTGCAGCAAGAGAGCAAGGGCAGGTGCTGGACAGCATCTCCACCCCCACCTGGAGGAACCTCTAGTGCCACTGAGGCCCGGGAGCTCGCCAGAGGGGGCAGCTGCTATCACCCATCTCATCAGTGGGGAAGTTGAGGCTGGGGTGGGGGCAGAGCTGGGGCAGAGGTCAGGCTGAGAGCTGTCCAGGAGAGCGGGGGTGTGTGGGGGGTCCAGGGCTTAGGGAGGCTCTGGAGGGAGGGTGGGCCCTGTGCGGGAACTGGGGACGGCTGCAGCCATCTGACTGGTCTTTTGCAGGGCTGCCCAGGTCTTAGCCTGACCCCTACGCGGGTAGTACCGGAAGTGTAGGTGGGCCTAGGGCAGGCAGAGCTCTAGGCAGGAGTGCATGGGGGGGCTTTCAGGGGTGCCTGGGACCCTGGGATTGTGCAAATGAGGGGTTGTCTCTGCCGCCTCCCTCCCTGCGGCAAGAGCCAGTCTGGAAACTGAACCCAGAGCCAGAAATGCCTCCCAGAGTTCCAGCCCCTCCCGGGTAGCTCTGGCCCACCTGGTGCCAGGTTGTCTTGGGGTGAGTGGCCCCCCCAGGAATGTGTCCGTGGGCTGGAAGGAGGTAAGCTGGGGGCCCCTGGAAATGAAGGGTGCAGACCCCCGATGCCCTGCCAGTGTCAAACTCCGGGCCATCACGATCACCCACACTGAAGCCTGGCAGGGCAGGGAGCTGGGCGGGGAGGACCCATAGCTGGTGATAGGCTCAGTCCCCGAGACCACAGTGCACGGGTGGCCGCCGGAGGCCAGGGCGTGTCTTCAGAAACACTATTTTTTTTTGCTCCCCTCTCCCCTGCCCTGCACGGCAGCGCTGGGTGGCTCTGACAGAGGGGGTGTAGGCAGTCTCAGCTGAGAGGGGCCCCGGTGGGTAGCGGCTGGGAGCAGTCTCAGTGCGGCCCATTGATCCGGGGCTGCTCCCCTCTCCCGCTGATCTATCTGGCACCTTCCTTTCCTGCCGGTCATTGTTATTATCGGCCCCCAGGATTCATGGCCCTCATTGGGCTGAATTACCATCAACTGCTGTATTTTTCAAGGGATTTTCTTCTCTCTCTTTCTTCTGATTTGTGCGTGTGTGTGTGTGAGTGTGTGTGTGTGTGTGTGTGTGTGTGTGTGTCTGCAAGAGCTGCTCTGAGCTGAGGAAGACTTCCAGTGCCCTCTAGTGGTGAGAGGGCTCCAAGGCGTGCGCCTGTGTGCACACGCATGTGAATATGTGTGCACTTTATGACTGAGTGTGTTCACGTGTGTGATTGGGAGGCATGTTCCTATGTTTGTGTTTCGTGATGGAATGTTTGGTTTTATAGCCTTTACAGATCTGAAGGCACATTCAGGGAATCTGAGTATGGTACATGGGTGAGTAGGAATGTGTGCATCTGAATATTTGTGTGTGTATGTGGGCAGGTGTGTGCACAGATGTGGGCATGTGAACATGTGTGCAGGAGCGTGCATGCACAGATGTGTGCAGGTTCCCGTACATGTGTGCGTGTGGTATATGTGTGCAGGTATGTGTGCATGTCGGGGTGTGCACGCATGTGCACATGTGGGCAGGTATACGTGCTTGTGCATATGTGTGTGAGCTTGTGCTTAGGCAGTCTCTGGGATTGTGTACATTATTGTACAGTGGTTTGTGCACACACATACACATGTGCTTGGGTGTGACTTATAGGTGGGCACATGTGCACGGGCCCTTCATCACAGTCACGTGCACTGAGCCCCCGCGTCCCTCACTCTGTCCCCTGGCAGCATCTTCCCTCCAGGCTCTGAGCACCACCTGCCCCTAGCCCCCCCCCCCCACTCAGATCTACCCAAACATGGCTGCAAGCCTGGCAGCGCAGGGGCGGGCGGGGGGGGGGGGGGTGGGACTGTGTTTTCTGATCTGCAACACTGTCCCCGGATTCTGCCTTCACTGCCAGGGCAGATGCGCCTCCCGGTCACTCGAGGCTGCAGGGCCGGGCCACAGGAGGGGGTACTGCTGAGTTCCCTTCCCTGAGCCCACGGACCCTGCCACAGACTGTTTGGTATCTTCTGCTCCCTCGGAGGCTAAAGGAGAGTCCCACAGAGCCAGTTCGAGAGAAACTCAGCAGGGCACCCCTCCTGGCACTGAGGGCCATGCACAGAGCTGGCCACTGGCTGCCCAGACATGCATCGAGCCCACACTGCAGACACAGGTGTGAGTCACACAGCTACACACACACACACACACACACACACGTCCCATCCGTGGGGACACATGTCTTGTGCTCCTTCTCTTGGAGCACTTGAGAGCAGTCCTGCGGCAGGGGGGTGGTTGAGGTGCTGGAAGCTCTCTGCTCTCACCCCTTTCCATCCCTCCCAGCCTTCCTGAGCATGGCAAGCCGTGAGAACGCAGCAGGGCAATAGGAGAAAAGTGTGGGCTGGGAGGGCGCTTGGGGCCTGCATGAGCTCAGCCCAGGCTCGGCCCTTGTACCCATATGGTTCCCCAAGCCCGCCAGGCGTGATCCCTGAGCACAGAGCCAGGAGTCAGTCCTGAAGAGCGCCAGGTGTGGCCCAGGCAACCTGCAAGTGTACACTAAGATCTCTAGTAGAGATGGAGCCACGTGCACACACATGCACGCACACATGCGTGCATACATGCCTCTCTCATGCACCACCCACGCATACATATGTGTACACACACAAGCACGCACACATGTGCACACGCACAGGCACACACAAACACACACAGATGTGTGCTGTATCCGATGTACATCATAATGATCGAGAGGCATCATAAGGCATGTCGGGATACGTATTCTGTGATCTTGTCTATTTTGGGAGAGCAAAGCTGAGGCCCTACATCACCATGAAGCTAATTTGTCTCTTTAAATCAGTTTATGTTGGAATCAGGCACCTTGATTAACCAAGTGAGGGTGGGCATTCAAAGTGAGCTTTGGGCCAGGTGGGGATGGGAATGTGGGGGCTGCACCCAGCCAGGGGCCTGTCCCCCCACCCCATAGTGTGATGCCGGGGACGACCACAGTGTGGGGGAGAAAGGGGAATCAGAGCAAGTGGCCTCCGATCTCAGGATCAGGAATACCCTCCCCCATCTTCCTGCCTTCTCACCCTCAGCCCCCTGGGCCCAGCTCATCCACCCCTGGTGACCCGATGGCTCTCATGTCACCCCCTCCCTTGCCGTGTGGCTCTGGGCCATTGCTGACCCTCTCCGGGTCTGGGTTCTGACTGCAGCCCGAGGCAGCAGTAGGTGTGTGTGTGGGGGGGGTGGTCACTCCCTCCCTCACTGGCCACAGAAGCTTCCGGTGCTCCTAGACGGAGCGCCATGAGAAACACCCAGTGCAGCTGCTGGCTGGTGCCCGCACCCCATACTTGCTGCAGGCCCCCCTGGGGTGGGAGCTGGGCTGGCCTGAAAGCCGGGGGGCGGGGGGCTGGAAGCTAGAAGGAAGGGGACCGGGGAGGCCACAGACCCCGGGATCTGGCTACCACAGGACACAGGGTCTATGGCTGAGGCCCCGCCCAGGTCACAGTGACCACAGAGAGCCCAGTAGGGCCCGAGGGAAGGAGGCAGAGACTCAGGCTGCAGCCTGGTCTGCTGAGGCCCCTCCGAGCACTGCCCACAGCCCTGGGACCTGGAGCCATATCCTGCCAGCTGACACGCCCACAGCCCCCGGGACAGACCCTCCCTGACAACAGCCCCCAGGATGGACCCTCCCCTGAGACTTTGGGGAGCAGATTTACTCTGGGCTGCCCATCCTCCTCGAGGGGCTAGCCACGGGCTCCTGTTCCCTGGAAGGAGCCCCTCATCGGAGACAGCGCCCTTGGACCATGCCTGGCCCCGCCCCCTGTCACCAGCCGGGATGTAAATTAAAATTCAATTTCATTAAGCCGCGAGCAATCAATCTCTGGCTCGTGTGCACAATGCGGGGCCGCCCCGGCCGTAAGTCACAGGCCTCCCCCGCTTTTGTTCGCAAACTGCTGGAACTGCACTTTCTGCGGAATTTATGGAGCCGGCAGCCGCGGCCTGAGTTACGGCTGTGGGGGGACCAGGCCACATTACTCTGCGAGGCGCTCACGGCGCTGACAGCCAGGGAAGGGCCCACACGGTTGGACTCCGCCCGTGTCCTCCTTGTGCCCCTGAGGGGTGT